GTATGTCAGTCCCATGACATGGATGTCTGTTTCTAGGAGTTTATAGGTAAACAAATTTATAGGTAAACAAGTGGTACATACCAGAACAGAAAAGCTTGACTTCTTGTCAGAAAGCAAACCTTTAGTTTTATAATGTGTCTATTATGAGTTTATTAATTAAATATGTTCATGTGACTTATTTTTTAAATAGAAAATTCTGTAATTTCAAGTGAATGAATATAAAGAAAGCCCCTTTATCTAAGTCAGCTAAGTCACAAACTCAAGGAATGTGGCTCTTAGAAAACTAAGATGTGGCTCTTAGAAAACTTTTTTTTTTTAATTTTTTTTGAGTTGGAGTCTCACTTTGTCACCCAGACTGGAGTGCAGTGGCCACTCCCAGCCACCGCAGCCTTGACCTGCTGGGCTTTGGCGATCCTTCCGCCTCAGCCTTCCGAGTAGCCGGAATTACAGGCATGCGCTACCATGCCCAGCTGATTTTCTGATTTATTGTAGAGATGAGATCTCACTGCCCAGGCGGGTCTCAAACCCGCGGGCTCAGGCAATCCACTCACCTCAGCCTCCCAGAGGCGCAGGATTACAGGCTGAGCCACCGAGCCCGGCTTGAAAACTTTTGTCTTTGAATTGGATATGAATGTTTTGCGCAGGTAAGTTTTGCTAATATATCTCTTGTCATCAGACATTTGCTAGGAGTGACAAATATTTTTAATAGATAGCAGTGTTTTTGGTACTCAAAAATTCTGTCCATTCAAAGCATCAGGAAGTCTCATTGTTGCTCCTGCCTCCTGAATCTGTATGTTTACAGTTTTCTTCAAATTTGGACATTTTTCTGACATAATTTCAAATACTTTTCCTCCTTGCCTTTCAGGAAACTCCAATGAAACATATGTTAGGCCACTTAAAATTGTCTAATAGCTCATTGATTCTCAATTGGTTTTTTAAAATTCTTTTATTCTCAGTGTTTATTTTGGATAGTTTCTGTCCTTAATTTCACTTTGTTTTTTTTTTTAATCCAGTCTGTCATTTTCATTCAGTGAATTTTCCTTTCATGTTTTATGGTTTTCACCTACAGTTTTTGATTTGGACCTTTTATAGCTTCCGTATCTCCACTTACCTTTTTGAAATTACATAGTAATTATACAGTAAATTTTAATATCCTTGACGGCTCATTTTCACAGCTCTGCCAGTTCTGGATTGGATTGGATTGGATAGATTTTTTCACTCTCGTTTGGATTGTATTATCTGGCTTCTTTGCATCCTTGGTACTTTTGTATTGGATGTCAAATGTTATGTATTAGTGCTGGATATTTTTGTATTCCTACCAGAAGGGTTGAGCTTTGTTCTGGGGTGCAGTTAAGTTACTTGGCAAATTTTGTCCTTTCAGGTCTTGCTTTTAAGATTTTTTTAGGCAGGACCAGAGAAGTGCTCAGTTTAGGACTAGTTATTCCCTGTTACTGAGGTAAGAGCCTTCTGTGTGCTCTACCCAGACCCCAGGAGTCCTGTTTTCCAGCAGTTTTCCCACTCCATGTGAATACCAGACACCGCTTCCTCTAAGTCTTTGGATGGTTCCCTGGCCTTAGGTAGTTATCTAACAAGAATTTTTTTGTCAGAACACAGCTGAAGACTTGCAGGGTGGGGTGGTGCTCTGCATAAGCCTAAATTTCTCTGTCTGTACAGCTCTCCAGTCTTGCCAACTCCATCCACCTGTGTCTCCTGGACCGTCAGCTGTTTTAACTCAGCCTGGCTTCCAGCTCTACCTGTGTTTCCACAGCCTGGAAACTTTCAAAGCAGTGAGCTTTGGTGATAGTTGAAACTGATTCATTTGTTCCCATGACCTGTCTTTGTTGCTTGATGGCCAGCATCTTGAACAACGTGATTTGTCTTTCCAGTGAGAGGGTAAATCTGGTCCCTGCTATTTCACCTTGGGTATAATTGGGAGTCTGAATTTTTTTTAAAGTGCCATTTAACTTCTAATAGAGAAAATATTGATAGGTACAACTATCATAATCAAAAGCTCTTTGAAGCCCTTAATTTGAGTGTAAAGGGGTCCTGAGATCAAACTGTTGGCGGTCCAGGTCCAGACCAACACTTCCCAAGATGTTCATGGTTCCATGGACAGCGAATTAATTGTAAGCCTCTCTTCAAGTGAAACAGACTTTTCAACCTTGGGATCTCAAGACCTTCAATATGCTAGTGTCTGTTATCAGTCTACAGGAATAAATGTCTCTTTTAACATGCCCTAAACTAGATCAGGAAGATATTTTTGGCACTAGTTGCCAACAGTCGTTCTTAAATATACCAAACCAACAGAAGGGGCTGAACATACATCAGATGGGTAGTTTTAAAAATAAAAGACATGCCAGGCTCGGTGGCTCAGCCTGTAATCCCGCGCCTTTGGGAGGCTGAGGTGAGTGGATTGCCTGAGCCCACAGGTTCGAGACCCGCCTGGGCAGGTGACCTCATCTCTACAATAAAATAAAAAAATTAGCCGGGTGTGGCAGGACGCGCCTGTAATTCCGGCTACTCGGAAGGCTGAGGCGGAAGGATCACTGGAGCCCAGCAGGTCGAGGCTGCGGTGGCCGGGAGCGGCCATTGCACTCCAGTCTGGGCGACCAAGTGAGACTCCAACGCAAAAAAAAAAAAGAAAAAGAAAAATCTGGGACTTAAGAGACTGCATGTGTGTCTTGAGGCGTCAGTTTCCCCATCCATACGGGGAGAGTGCGAAGTCAGGCAGAGATCCCACCATCCCTGACGCCTTTGATGGGATACAGTCTCCCCACCCCAGCCAGGCTCTGGGGGCGGGTAATGGGGGATGACAGAACGCAGAGCCAGTGGCAAGATTCAGATGGAAGCTTCCCAAGGCTGGGGGCCGAGGACCACCCACTTTTCTCCTGGCCCTATTTCTGGGCTTCCCAGTGGGGCAAGGGGCGGTGGAGGCGGTGCCCGTGCTGGGCTGAGCCTGAGGTTTCCGTGAGCACGGGCCGTCTCCATGGGAACAGGGGTGAGCTGCCGATCAGGGGGCTGCGTGGGGAGCTGTGAGTGAGCAGAGTGCAGAACAGAGTGCAGTCCCTGCCTAGACCCCTGCTCCTCCCGCCCCAGCCAGCGTCCGAAGAGCCCATCCTCCCATCTGCAGCTCCTTTGGCCAGGCCAAGCTTTTCCCCTACCTGTTTTCTCTCCTGTCCTCAATACACTCTGCCTCAAATCTGTCTTGCTTCTTTCTTTCTTCCGCGCTGCTGGGGGTCTGGGCTCTGTCCTCCTCCCTGATTCCCGGGAAGTAGGGTGGAACAGCCTGGTGACTGTGTGTGCAAGCGTGGCTGGAGCTCACGTGTGTGTCTTTGGTGTGTCTGGAGCTCACGTGTGTGTCTTTGGTGTGTCTGGAGCTGCAAGGTACAGGTGTATGCCTGGTGTGGAGGCGAGGGCTCCCTTCCTTCCCGGGACAGCACTGGAGAACCAAAGCCTTGCAGATCACCGTCTTGTATTTTCTGCTTCCAAAAACGCACTGTCGAGGCCAGGTATGTTAGGCTCTTTAAAAATGGTACGGAAACCCCTCAGCCAGAGTGGT